TTTTTTCGCCGTAAAAATCGGCACAATCCGTACAGCGCATTTTCATCTCCTCCCAGTATACACCAATGATTTATGGTTCTGCTTCCATTTTTCATTAAATTTTGTCTCAGGTCTATTCTTTTCATCCTTTTATTGCTGTTCTGCGCACTCTTCTGACGTAGATTTTTGTTTTTTCCCAGGTTTGGCACCTTTAGCGACGCCATTTTGTATACATGGGGCTTGGATAAAAGCCAGACAGTCGGACCGATCCGGAATAAAAAATTGACGGACCTGATCAAAATTTATCGGACATGTCCGTCGGATCGACGTATTTCGGGAAGTCTGCTACTGGTTTCCAGTGTTTGGAACAGGTGCAACTTAATTTCTGGCCCAAACAAAGTCTCACTGAACTAATAATTGAAATGTAAACTAACACTGGGTCAAAGGCGTCATCATATCTATTATTGATCCATTATCAAAACTTGAATGTAATTTTGAAATCATTTGTTTTAAGTACATCTTTTTGCAATTAGTAATGATGCTTTATAAAGCAAAATTAAGGAAATAAGATACATTTGAAAACCACATTGCTTAATTAAAATATCATATGAAATTGCTGCTACAATATTGTTAATGTATAAAAGATTTTGAAGGCACAATGAAAGTTGCCTTGATGTTTAATTTTAGTTTGATTACAAACCTTTATAGATCTTATTGAGGACTTTTAAGTTCCAAATAAAAAAATTAAATCTTGCTCAAAATTGCTGTCGATTTTTTTATGTGCTTCTGTTTGGCAAATCGACAGCCTGTGGAAATACGATTTTCGATCGAAGCGCCACCTAGTATACAGAGATTAGGATAAGGGTGCGCAGTGCGTAATATTCCCATTAAAACTGAAAACTGCGCATAAAATTTTGAGCAAATGCGCTGTAGGTACGCATACAAAATAAATCGTCGCTCGGTAAACAAATAATAACATTCGGTCATTAAGAGTTACTTCTCCTGTTGACTGGTTAATTTTATACATAAACACGAGGGCTGATATTTAACAATATCATGTGTACCAGTCTTCACCCAAGGGATCAATATGTGTAGTTTCTTTCTTTTTATGTTTTATCATAATTCTGTTTCTTAATAAAAATAAATGTTAACAAATATAAATGACTTGATAATTTTTGACATCAATTTTAGTACGAAACGGATAAAATGCGTCTCCGTAATAATATTTTTTTTTTAAAAGTAACTATTCTCGGCTGATCCCTTTGCACTTCTTTCGGCTTCTTTCGGCTGCTAACCTACTAGTTTATAAATATGCCACCGAAGAAAATATTTAGATTCGAGAAAAATCAGTTGAATTTGTTTCATTTCGTAAGTAAGACTGACGATAACAACAATCCAGTTGATCCAAAAGATATTCTTGTGGCCACACCATTAAAATCCACAGAAAGTCATAAAGACGATCTAGATTCGGATGATCAAAATCCGGGCACGGTAATCACTGACAAAAAATGTTGGGATTGTTGGGTCAAAAGCTATCCATGGTTATATCAAGAAGATGGCAAAATGTTTTGCAAGTATTGTAAAATTAATTGGAACAAGCAATTATCATAGTATTGCAAGCAATCCATAAGTCCCCTACCGGTTAGAACCCCATCAACATTCTGAAGGGCCATTGGCCATTCACTTATGTTTCAATTTTTCTCTATTTTAAGTAAACTTGTTGGAAAAGTTCTTTAAAAGTGATCACAGGAAACAGTTTTTATGAACAGACAGACAGACGGACTGAAGGACACTCTAAAGTTAATATTTGAAACATCCCTGCAGGGGTTTTTTTTAGGAAAAGGGGAAGACGCTGGACGCTGGTAGGGAGGGGAAAAATATACGAAAAAAGTCAATTTGGGGAAACTTTATTATGACGTTATTTATACTATATACTTAACTACATAGTAGAGAGTTACAACTATATCTTTTTCCCCTTAAAAACTTTATCATCATGCAAAATATTCTTTGCAGTATAACATATTTTCTTAATATGTATGGTGGTGTATGGTTTTTATACTTCTATTTTTGTATGAAAGTTAATACAGTATAGGTATAATAGTGTATCTGTGACACACTTTAGCTCCATATAAGTCATTTTCATAATAAGAAGTACAAAATATATTACTTTACTAAAAATAACCAAGAAAATGACAATATTTTGATAGCAACTGATTTCCAGAAATAGTACCGTTCAGTACGGGATATAGCCAAGAAAAAAAAATGGCTGCCTCCATGTTGAGACAGTACTTGCAGTTTCCTGCAATGTTTTTGGTTATTTTGAACAACAATTGGTGGTTTATCCTGCATAAAATGAAGAAAAATAATATTTTAAACCATGTGATTATTAAATCTGATCCAGTTTAAAGGAAAATAGAATTTTTTGGGGGAAAAAACTTGGCTATTTACCGAGGGGAAGACGCCGACTATCGGTGTCAATTTGTTAGTAAAAAAAACCCCTGCCCTGTTACCAAAATATAACATTTTAAAGGCAGAATTCTTAAAGAGGAGATAACTCTTGAATTAAAGATGCAATTTCATAAAAATTTTCAGCTCTTTTTGACTAATCACAAATATTGTTATATTTGCCATGTTTTAAGCCTATTTGTTGCCAAGGCAATAGGGATGGGTACCACCATTTTTTTTGTACCGCGGTATATCGCGGTATTTCACCTGTGTACCGCGGTATGTACCACGGTATTATGAAGACACTTTTTAATGTTTAATTTATGCAAACTAAGACCAACTGCCATAAGAATGTTTAAACATTTTGATAAAACACAATACATTTTAGAAAAACAGATTAATATCTTTATTTCTTTCAACTAACATCTGTCTACCTGACTGGAAAATAATAAATAAAAGAAAGAAGAAAATAACCTTATTGTCTTGATAATATTTTCAACAAAATCTAAAACAGAAAAATGGCAATTCCCATTGGATTTTGACCGTGGTGAATTCGTCCATGACGGTATGAAGCTGTTTACAAGTTGGGCTATGTCTAAATGCTTTACGTTTTGTTATTGTCGCCACTCGTCAATACGTCAACATGTTTACTAGCCTTAGACTGAGCACTAACATGGGTGTCCCCTTTTAATGCATTTAAATGAAGAATGATATATAGAAATTATAAAAATGTCGGCGGATGAAATGTATTTACACTACATAATAAATATGAAAAACAACCGGGAAACGATCCGACCTTTCCGCGACTAATTATTCGTTAGAGTATTATACTGTGCATTTACTGCTGCTCTAAAAATAGACTTGGAATTCCACTTTAATTTAGGTTGAAAGTTGAAACACAGATTACAGGGTAAATAACGTCCGAATCTTACAAAAATATTATGTAAAATTATATATATTAAAAAACCGGTATTCCAAGGGGTCGTACCGGTACGTACCGCGTCTGAACGAAACCGCGGTATACCGGTATACCGGTAATACCGCACATCCCTACAAGGCAACTGATATTTTTTCAAAATAGGAAGAACAGATAAGACATGCATAATCTCAACACTGCTATCTACCCATATGTCAAGTTTCATAAAAATATTTCCAGTACTTTTTGAGTTATCACCGGATTCAGTTTATGTGTAAAATTTGCCACATTTTCAGTCTATGTGTTGCCATAGCAACCAGAATTTTCAACATAGGAAGAAAAGAAAAAGACGTGCATAATCTCAAGACTGCCATCTACCCATATGTCAAGTTTCATAAAAATATTTCCAGTACTTTTTGCTTTATCACTGGATCCAGTTTATGTGTAAAATTTGCCATATTTTCAGCCTATTTGTTGTCATAGCAACCAGAATTTTCAACATAGGAAGAAAAGAAAAAGACGTGCATAATTCCAAGACTGCCATCTACCCATATGTCAAGTTTCATAAAAATATTTCCAGTACTTTTTGCTTTATCACTGGATCCAGTTTATGTGTAAAATTTGCCATATTTTCAGCCTATTTGTTGCCATAGCAACCAGAATTTTAAACATAGGAAGAAAAGAAAAAGACGTGCATAATTCCAAGACTGCCATCTACCCATATGTCAAGTTTCATAAAAATATTTCCAGTACTTTTTGCTTTATCACTGGATCCAGTTTATGTGTAAAATTTAACATATTTTCAGCCTATTTGTTGCCATAGCAACCAGAATTTTAAACATAGGAAGAAAAGAAAAAGACGTGCATAATTCCAAGACTGCCATCTACCCATATGTCAAGTTTCATAAAAATATTTCCAGTACTTTTTGCGTTATCACTGGATCCAGTTTATGTGTAAAATTTGCCATATTTTTAGCCTATTTGTTGCCATAGCAACCAGAATTTTCACCATAGGAAGAAAAGAAAAAGACGTGCATAATCTCCATACTGCCATCTATCCATATACCAAGTTTCATAAAAATATTTTCAGTACTTTTCAAGTTATCGCGGGATCCAGTTTTGTGGACGGACGGACTGACGGACGGACAGACGGACGGACAGACAGACGGACGGACAGACAGACGGACGGAGGGTAAACCTAAAGTCCCCTCCGGTAAACCGGTAGGGGACTAAAAACAACTCTCTGACTAAAGGATGCACAAATTTCCGCACAAGTACACTGTACGGACATGAAGTTATCGATGACCATATTCAGTCAGTAGCAACCCCATCACTTGCAGAAAACTTTCAATTAGCAGTAAGTAATGCCTTTTCCAAGGAAGATGAGGCAATGGTAAAAATGATTAAAACTGTTGTTTGGCTGGCAAAGGAAAACTTGCCATTGTCAAAGTTTGAGAGTCTTGTAAACTTTTTAAACTCTGCTGATGTACCTGGTCTTGAATGTTCAGAAAAGGTGAATTACAAGAGCTATTATACTGCAACTGAGATTCTATCCGCAATCGGAGACCATCTAGACTGTGTCATTAATAAAAAGTTGCATCAGTCGCCATGAGTGGCGGTTCTTGCCGACAAGAGTACTGATATAGCAAATAAGAAAGGAATGACTATTAATGCTGTGGTGATTGATCCTGAATCTTCTTGTCCCAATACTATCTATTTAAGAAATGTGGAATATGAAGATGGCACTGGTGTGGGCCTTGCAAGTGTAATTGTGGATGAATTTTCCAGACGGAACATTTCATTTGACAAGTTACTAGGTTTTGGCTCGGACGGTGCCAGTGTAATGACAGGGTCTGACAGGGGAGTCAAAGGCATACTTCTACGAAAGCAACCGCACATGATTCACATACACTGCATGGCTCATCGCCTTGCTCTGTTCACAAGTCAGGCTGCTAAATCTGTGCCCAACATCTGTGAGTATCAACGTTTCTTGACAAACCTGTTCTACTATTTCAAGGCTTCTCCATCCCGTGAACAGGAACTTCATCAAGAACAGGCTATTCTCAACCATCTAGTATTGAAATACAAAGAAATACATGCAGTCAGATGGCTTTCTTGCTATGAGGCGGTTCTATACAGAACTATTGATCCATTGTTGTCATATCTGCATCAGAGGGTTGCAGCCAAAGATCCTAAGTCAAAGGGGCTTCTTAAAAAAATGGCTTCCACACAATTTGTGTACATAACATACTTAATGATGGATGTCTTACCTATAGTCATGAAGCTGTGTTTGAAATACCAGGAAAAGAGCCTAGACATTGGACAGGCAAAGGTTTGTTAGTTAACTTATATACCTGTATCATTCATAGTCAGACCTGGGGTAATCATTAATTGTAATCATTGATTTTTTAATTGATTACATGATTACACTGTAATCATCATGTAATTGATTACCTAGCCCAAAATTGATTAATGTAATTGTAATTAATCAATTACAGCTAAAATTCTGTCTGTAATCATGATTACAATTTGATTGATATTGATTACTTTCAGATTTAACAGGAAACTATTTTAATTCAAATGATGCCATTATTTTACATGATACAGTGTAACTTTTGTTTTACATTTATACAGTAAAAGCCCTTAATTAAGACCATCATCTGGGCTGGACCAACATGGTCTTAATTGTGGGGTGGTCTTAACTGTGAACATTCTTATCATTGCTTACATACTTTATGACAATGGTCTGTCTTAGTCATTTTGTTTGAAAAAAAAAACAACAGTATGTATCTTAAGCTACAAGCGCAATATAAAAGACACTATAAATGTATGTTTTGATACCTGATGAAAGGAAAACATATAATGATATTTCTGAAAAAAATTTAACTTGAAATTCTCTTTGGTCAGATTTCAATATCAATTATTATATGATGTACATAAATCACCTATCAAATAAAAATTAATTCTTCACAAAAAATAAATTTGCTAGAAGCAACATTAAACCACTCTAAAATTTACCTTCTCACCTTATATCATACAATAACCCAATAATAACAGTTTTTCACACCTTGTGAAATTAAGTGTCATGCAAAGCATTCAATCAGATAATAACAACAAATTTAAGATCTAGATATGTGTTGATTTTAATATTGATCAGTAGTCTCAATAGTCGAGTTAAATTAAGAATAAAGCAAAGAAGTTGGACTGAATTAGGTAGTCTTAAAAGTGAATAAGCGGTTATTCTTAATTCTAGATCATGTAACAATTGACACAAAGAACCTTGTAAAAAATGGTCTTATTAAGGGGGTGGTCTATATTCAGGTATGGTCATTAGTAGGGATTCTACTTTACATTGAATGTAATCAATTATCAATCAATTACTCTCTTAGAGTAATTGTAATTCAATTGATTACAGAGGTAAGTCTGAGTAATCAATAGTAATCAATTACAATAAAATCAGAAAGTAATTGTAATTAAATCAATTACTGATCAATGTAATCATCCCCAGGTCTGTTCATAGTAATACTGTAATTTCAGGTACTGGTAGTTTGTTAAAAAGTCAATTGCTTAAGTGTACATGTACCAGGGCTTCCGTTAACGGGCGTACGGCCGTAAATTACGCCCGAAAATCGTATCTGTACGCCGAAAATTAAGATCAATGACGTACCGCTGACTTCCAAAAATTTAGGAATACGGCGAAAATCGTAAGCCGTGACGTACGCCACGACCATTTCCCGACATTTTCTCACTTTCCTGGCGTACGATTGGATTATTTATTAAACTCCGCCCCCTGAATTGAATGGTTGACATGACAGCGATGGGGGAAATTATGCGAATGCACCTGGCGCGTGACGAATTAGCGAGTGTTGATTTATGACCTTGATAAGCGTGAAAACAAAGTGATTGGATTAATTGTTTGTTTTGTACGGATAATGGATAGTTAATTGACGTAAACTGTGGTAGGTATCTGTTTTTAATTACTTTAATTAGATAAAATCATTTATTCTTTATTGTGTGCATCGGTAAGTTTTGAATGTATCCGAAAGTTTGCCGAGTCGGCGAAGCGTGTTTTTGTCTTTTGATTTTTTTTTTCCTTTTTGAAGTTAAAGACGTTTTATTTTCACACATTCTATCGATGTTCATTTGATTTGATTTTTTTTTCACTCGCTAATTACAGGGCTCGAGCTACTGGGCGATTCGGGCGAAATAGTCGCCGAATTCCGTCTGACTTCGCCGACATCCTACATGAAAGCGAAGATCAAGTCGCCCGATTTTATTGATCCATTATTGAAAATTACCAGCAATAACTGTGAATAACATGTGTGTTTGCTTTGTTTACCCTCGCCGCCGGAAAAAGGGACTGTCATGCATCTCAATCAACGCGTATGTCATTAATCCGCTTGTTTGTTTACCAACATGTCATAAAAGTCTAATTAACAGACACTCAAGGAACAATTAGACTCCGCCCACGGCGAGATTACCGATACGTGCGAGAAACCAATCGTAATTCACGTTTCAATCGAGGCGACATTATTAAACCAATCATTAAATCGCTAACATACAACTACCAGTAACAATTATTTATGATGGACGGATCAAACGTCAATTAAATTTTCACTATCGAATGATTGTCAGAATTAAGAGGACCGCCTGACATATAACTGTAACGGTAATTATAAATGAAAGTTATGATAACCTTTTTTGTCGACGAGTTAAATTTGATAAAATTGACGGCGTATTACACTGTATTTATTACAAATGTAGTTAAATTAAAGATCGTTTCTTTCGTTATCTACTTTCATTTTCTTTACAACATAAGTGAAAATGAATATAATGTCCGGCGCAAGCTTTTTAATAGTAAATCAGAAGGGAATAACTGTTAATCCACCCATGATATGATCCATGATAGGAATCAACTATGGCTTTTTTATCTTCATTTAATGCAATGGTTGCATTACATGATACTCATTCTTATTATTACTTGTTTCAAACTACTTTTAAATTAAAATTGAATATTCTGTTGTAACACAAATCCAATTCATTTAATAAGATATGTACAGTGAGTCAACATAATTGCAATAACATACAAAAAACATCGATAAATGAATCTCCTCACTTCTCCCTAAAGTCTCCCCACTTCTCCCTAAAGCAGCTGGAGGGAGAAGTGACTTCTCCCTAAATTTTGAACCTAGCTTGAGCCCTGAATTACGAATACGAATACGAAATTATTATGAGAATCAAAGTTACATTTAAAAATCTTTTTCCCTACCCACTCTCAAAATGTTTCAATACTCACTTCTGCAATTTGGCGTATCTCAAAAACGTAATTAAAAAATTAATTTGGTCAAGAACGGTGTTCGAAATTACTTTCATAAAACTTTCAATTTATAAGCCTGATTAAATTTAACCATTTTCGGTTGTTAATGTGTTATGATTCATATGATACACTGAAATTGTGTTCGGTACTGTAGTAAATAATTTTAAATACAAGAGATATTTAAACAACAATTTTTATTTTACAAATAAGAAATAGATCTATAACAATGCTAAAGGATGTCATGTTTTTTTTTATTTCAGGGAATCTACAGAGATCCACCCTTTTAAAACACAATGAATCCAAGGACCACAAAAATGCTGTGCAGGCTGATCACATGATACAACAGCTGTATGGTACTGATCCAGAGGTAGAAAAAGAAGAACCCATCATACACATTTCAGAATCTACTTGTACCATGATTGATTAAAGAATTAAAAGTTTTCTGGAAATATTATTTTTTCTGTTATACCAATGAGCAATTATTTGAATGTTATCACTGAAGGGTTCTACACGGTTACCACTGTCCTTAAATAACAACAATACAGTCCTTTTCAGGGTAATGTTCTTACTTCTATTGAAAATATCAACAATCATGTAAAGATACTTTGAACTTTTTAAATATGTATAATAAAACATTTAAAGGAATAACATTTTCAGAATCTTGTGATTAAAATAATTGCTTTTACTTGTATCATCCCATACTAAAAATCAAACATTGAAACATGAAAAATTAAATAGCACCAAAAAGTTTTCTTCTAAAAAAACAAATGTATTTAAAGTATACAGTAACAGTACTTGTAGTATTTCAATGATAAAACACAGGCAGTTTTTGTTTATTCACAGTGAATCACTGGTCTGAAGTGAAAGGTTTTATAAACATTGGTTCAGTATCTATGGTGTCAGTTACTTACAGTAAATTACAGACTTTTCAGTACTTACACTTTCTACTGCAGGTTTCCACAAAAGCAACTACTTGATGCCTTCTTTGTGTTGTGTTTGAGAACTATAAATGTTGACAGTGATCCCAACTTTGGAGACTCTGAGATTGAAGTTTTATTAAATCATTTTGGTGAAGAAAAGGTTAATTATTCAATATTAAGAATTTTTTTTTTTAAAATGATTGATAAAATAGTACACAAATTTTCTTTCAATTTTTTTAATGTCAGGAATTGTTTCTTTGCAGTAGGAAAATTAAGACTGGTCAATTAAAAAATATAACTTCATGTAACAGTATGTATCAGTGAATTAAAGGAAGAAAGGCTGCAGAAATTACTAATAAGGTTCTTATAAATACAATCTGTTTTTTAGACTTATGGTGATGCAGTGTTTTTTTTGGTCGAAATATTCGGCGATATTCGGCCCCTTTCCCCACCTCTCGGAATATATATTTTTCCCCATGAAATTGCGAAAATTCCCCACCGTCAAAAAATATACCCAAACAAGATACAGAAAGAAGACACACAAACCATAAGTAAAATATGCCAATAAATTTTATTTTGATTCGCAAAGCAAATTCATGAACTCTATCATTATTATCAGGGATGTTTACTTTATGCTTGCTTTGCGACATAGGTCGTTCGTTTTACCGCGGCTATAAGACAATACGGTAGCGCGACAGTCGGTTATTGAGTTTGTTATTTACCGTTGGCTTTAATGAAATAATACATGCAAATATTTATAATTAAACACTCGCCTACTTGGTAAGTATAAAATAAACAGAATATTATAAAATGAAAGAAAAATACGCTATCAAAAAGAGATTACAGTAACAAGATGAAAATCCTCAAGTTACCGAACTGCCGATGTGTCGAATTGTCGCTGTATCTTTACGGCTTTTACGACCTATCGCATTTACTGCAAAAATGTCACACAACAGTCGTTCTTGATGTTATCGAAAGATGATAAATAAAAAATGCTCCTCGAAGAACAAACGTATTGATGTTCTTTTTAAACAGCAGGCACTTTCTGTGCTAGGTTCAAAGGAAAAATATCAAAAACCAGACCAATGCAAGCTCGATTATGCGATATTTTTTTCTCAGTGTATTTTTTTTAGTAATAGATCTAATACATGATATAAATATTTCCAATCAATTCACTAAATAACTTGTCTGCCAGTGCAAAGAATTGATAAATTATGATTATAGAAACTGCGATTATGTATGCAAAATTTCATAACAAATAAATCTGTGTGAATAATGGCTAATGATATGCTGGTGGAGTTAACATTTGTTGTTATTGAAAAAAAAATCTGAAAAATATAAGAAACAAAAAATATCAATAGCATTACTTCAATTTTGAAAACACAGTAAGCGTAGAAAGTGTTCAACTAATTTATTCTATAGGATTGTTAAAAAATCATGTATTTTTAGTCTTTTTATTGAATATTAATAACACTGAAAATTCCCCTTTTTTGGCATTTACGCGCTATTTTTCCCCACCCAATGGGCACTGACCCCCTTCCACAAAAACTGAAAAAAATCACTGTGATGTGACATCTCCAGCACTTCTTAACAAAGATACAGTTCGAAAGGAGTGGCGTCTGGCAGGGCTTTTTTTTCAATTTTGGGGAAATGGCCTGGCCTTTCAGTTGGGGAAAAAATGCGCGATAAAAAGACATTTTGGGGAAAATCTATTACATTAAAAATTGAGTTAATAACTTTAAAATTAACAATAAACACATGCCCTAAAAGTCAGGCGAGTCATAAACAATGAAAACAGTTCAGATCTTTGGCCTTGAATTCCTTAAACATACAAAACCACTTTTTTTATTTAGTTGGAATCACTTGAGTCAATATCATTTGTAATATTGCCAAGCTTCAACATTGCTGTAACCTCCCCACACACCTCCCCTATTTATTTCAGAATGATTGCTTTGATTTTTCTATGTAAAAACTGCATTAAGTGCTAAAAAGATTAGATTATGATTCTCAAAGGACATTTTGACACTTAATGTACGAAAATCAATTAACTGTTTTATGTTTTATAATTTATTTACATAAACTAACACATTCCTCTCCAAATTCAAGCCGAAAATCAAACAGCAAATAGGTCGCTAAAACATGTGATAATAGAATATTTTTCCAATTTTTGGTATTTAAATATAACTCCATGTTTTTCCAGACAATGATTAAAATCTGTAAGAATGAATAAAATAACATATTTTTACAAATTTCTGCAGATTTTGAGTAGAATTTTCACAAAGACAGAATGTTTAGAGATATGATCAGCCCATTGTCGGCAACGCTTGGACTTTTTTTCTTGCAGGACAATCAGTAATATCAAACACTGTAGGCCTATAAAAAACTATTTGAACAAAAATGTTATTTTTTAAACAAGCAAGCCATAATAGTTGATTTTATTCAGACCAAGGGGAATCTTTTAGCTCAAGGGGAATTTTTTTTTCAGCTGGGGAAGTAGCCGTTAAACGGCTACAGTTATATAGCAAAAAAAAGCCCTGCGTCTGGTGAAGGAAATTGTCCGGTCACTTAAGTATCCTGTTGATAGTTTCAAGGTTCTTTGGCGTCTCCTGACAGAAAGTCATGCTAAAGAAGTACCAAACATGATTAAGCTGGCTCAGTTTGCAGCTGTTCTTCCTCTACATACAGCTGACTGTGAGAGAGTCTTTTCACAGCAGAACAAAATCATAACTAAACACAGGTAAGTTTAATTTCTACAATGGACTTGTCTTTCAATTATACCTACCAGGTCTTAAATTGGTCTTGACCAAAATTCTACTGACTGAATAGCAAACAGTGCAGACCTTAACCAGACTGGTCAGATATGCAGGTTACCTGGTCTGTATTGGCTGCAAAACCCAAAGAAATTTTCCAACAGCAGACTAAAAGTTAAAGAAATGCATTTTATTTTTTAATATATTTTATTGTATATTTTAAATTATAATAAAGAACACAACATTATATAAATTAATGTTTATTGGTACAACTGCTGAGTTTTTCTTTTACAGCCCTCAGCTCTGCTTAAAAGTGTTTGTTAAGTGGCCACACTGACAGGAAAGTATTACAATTTTGTATTTTTGCAGGTGCAAGCTGTCTGCTGACAACCTGGATAAGCTTCTGAAAATCTGCCTTGCTACTGAAGAATTAAACTTCCAGGAAGTCTTACGGCTGTGGAAACAGAACAAAAACAGGCGCATATTCAAGAAGTGAAAGTCACATCTAATCAGTTGAGAGAATATACAACAGATACATATATAAAAAGTGACATTCAGATAATACCTAACTCTTTCAACAAAAACAGATAATACCTAACTCTTTCAACAAAAACAGATGTAAAATAAAAATGAAATTTAGATCAGACATAATGTTTGTATGTGATTATTTGTGAAGGGTTTAAGACATTAAAAATCTAAAACAAGTTACAAAAAATTCCCATTTGTTTTGCTCAAGTGCCCATTAAAACCTCCAAGTGCCCATTACATTTTGCACCCATAGGGTAATAGTTCCATTAAAAAAAAATCTGTCCCAATCTTTGAGTATACACCCCGAAAATGACGGGTGTTATTTAAAGAGCGATAACTCATGCAACGACAAACTAGTTTCTAACAATAGAAACAGAGTTTCCACGAAGTGACCCAAAACTCAACGAAACAGTTAGGGAGCCTCGCTTTCAAAACACCATTTCCGATTAAAAACTGACACTGGTTGACAAAGTTTATTGCATGATGAGTGAATTCGATCAACAGGTTTGATTAGTTAAATTGGATAAAGTTTGTGAGCATCAGAGAATTGTGCTGGACGTAATTTATAATAGTAAATGGCGTCAAATTTTCAACATTCATCATCATCGCCTTGATTTCGATTTAGTCATGTAATTTGTTGGTCACGTGCTAATCGGTCTATTAATAGGATTATCATTAGTCGATAATTACATGGAAAACCCCGCAGGTTTCCCCAGGTGTTGATACTATAAAAATCAGAGATGTTGTGTTATCTATGATGATAGAGTATGAAATAGCGCGTATGTATAAATGAATAAGCAAAAAATATCAACGCCTGAATCCCAGACTAGAGGTAGGGCTGTTAACGGTTTACCGGTACACCGATATATTGCGGTGCATGATAAATAAATATTATACCCAGTGTAAGAAATTAGAACCGACTAGGCTGGTCGGACTACCAGATTGGAATATTCACTAGCCCAAAAGACATTTCACTAGCACAATTCATTTGTTCAAAACAGTTGTTTATATTGCCTCTGAAAAAAAATACAGTAGCCTGGTCGGGCTTGTTACTGTGAAAAGTTGGTAGCCCGAGGAGAAATTACTATTGCTAATTTCGAACACTGTGTACCGCGGTTCACATTTATTTGTACCAGTTTTATTTAATAATAACAGTGTTCCATAATTTCCTCTATAAATAAAAGAAAGTCTTCCATAATTTTCTTGATAAATAAATGTTATGAAAATGTCCTATGCACAAAAG